TGAAGTTTCTTGTAGCAGTTTCACTGGAATGAGGACACAGAAGTTAAAGTGCAGGGATGCCAAGATAGTTAGGATTGGACTAAGATCCTCAAGAGAAAAGAGCCACAGAAATGTGAGCTCAAAGTAATGTATAAAATTCCCCTTCATGTGTTTTCCAACTCCATGTAGAATATGTGTAGGAGAGACACATAGAATCAAAGGGCAATAGGAATACCTATTGTACTAAAAAGCTAAAAAGGAACTTCTTCAGTCACTGGATGCTGTGAAGAAAGGGGTTAGAATCGAGGGACAAACAAGGTGAGGGTAACCTGGTAAATATGTCACTCTTAGTTGAGACACCATATTAGATCAGCCCCCAAGAGAAACCAGAAAGAGACCAGTCAATAAAGCTTGAAAATAAGGCTCAAAGAAACTCTTCCATACAATATCTGCCTGCAAGATTCAAATTAAATCCTCTTTAGAGAAAGAAAACACTTTTCGGGCTCTTTACACTTTTTTCATTCATGTCTGATAGTTAATCAAAGATTGAATGCCAAAAAGGAGAACTAACTCAAAATACAAGAGATAAACAGTCAATAGAAATAAACCTACAAGTGATCCAGATGTTGCAATCAACCGAGAAAATTTTGAAAATACCATAATTTGTATATTCAAGAAAATATAGAAGATGATAGAAAACTTCAACATTTAACCAGAATTTATAATAAATAAGTAGAAATTCTAAAACTATAAAAAAATGGAATAACTAAAATTAAGAATTCAAAATATAGGCTACAAATTCTTAGGTAACTCAAGAGAGACAATTAGTGAACTACAAGATAGGTCAGTAAAAAACATGCAAATTAAAACACAGAAGCACACACACACAAAAATAGATAACAATTCAAAACAGAGTTGAAAAGTCTAATGTGAAATGATGAGAAATTCTAACATATACATTTTTGGAAGCACTTTACCTCAAAGAAGAGAAATAATGAAAAAGATTAAATGTTTGAAATACTTGGCCAAGAAATTTCCAAAACTGGTAAAAGACATAAACCACAGATTCAAGAAGCCATTCAACCTCCTTACTACAAACAGAGTAAATACAAAGAAAATCACACCTTTGCTGAAAAACAAACACAGAAAATGAACCTTAAAAGTAGTCCAGAAGTGGAAGGATATCTTCAGAGAAGAAAATTAAGATTTAGTACTGACTTTTCAACGGAGTCTATGAAAGCCAGAAGCTAATGAAATAACATCTTTGAACACAAAAACTTTACCTAGAATTATATGCCTAGAGAAGATATCCTTCAAGTTTTAAAGTAAAAGAAGTGTTCAAATGACAAAAAACGCATCTGAAGTTAAATAATTACTAAAACAAATCCTTCAGGGGAAGGAAAATAAATGCAGATGGAAGCTTGTTAATGCAGGAAAAAATGAAGTACATGGAAAAACATAACCACAAACCAACAAGCTAATGAAGGGGGGAAAAGGAAAACAAACAAAAACTTGATTCATGTAAGAGAGGGCAATAAAAACCTAAAAAAATATACATAGAATACATACGACAAACAAAAAACTCATACAAAGATGGTATTGATAAATCTAATTATATTCTATAAAAAATATTAAAATAATTTGAATATGTCAATGAAATACTATCAGAATGGAATATAAAAATAAGCAAAACCTAATTATAGTCTCTTATGATATAATAATTTTAAATATAAAATTTAAAAAAAAATTAAAAAATTAAAAAAAAAATTAAAAAAAAAATTAAAAAAAAAAAACAGAAATGTTAAATGGGAATGGTTAGAAAAATATCTATTACTATAAAATTACCAGCCAAAAGAAAGTTGTTGTAGGTATGAAATATCAGAGGAAGTAGCCACTAAGGCATTTGGTTAAAGAGGGAACCTAGAGTTAAACAAGGGAATTTTATTATGATGAAATGGTCAATGATACAATCACTTCCTATACAAAATGTGATGCCCTAATAATGTAGCTTCAAAGTATGAGGCAAAATTTGACAGAACTATAAGTTCATTTAGAGAAACCCACAATCATAGTAAGAGATTTTAGCATCCTTCGGTCAATAACAGAATTCTTCCTCCCAAAGTCACTGAGGACTCAGAAGATTTTTAAAACCACAATTAATAAACTTGAAATAACTGTGATTTTAGTAACAATATACTTAAAATTCTTTTCAAATGCTCATGGAACATTTCCCAAAATATATTATATGCTGAGACACATTTTTAAGAAACAAATAAAATCAATATTACAGCAAACTCTTTCAGAAAACAAAACAGAGGAAACATTTCCCAATGAAATGTATATGGCCAACATAACTTTGATACCAAAATCTAAATTAACAGTTTTATAAAAAAGAAAATTTATACATCCAAGTTCTTCTTGAATATAAATGCAAAAATTCTAAACAAATACTAGTAAACCAAATTCAGAGATAATAAAAAAGATAATACATTACAGCTAAGTTGGTTTATTCTAAGAATATAAGAGTTAAAGTTTGAAAATCACTGTTATATGCATAAAAAGTATTTGATAAAATAGAACTCATATATAAAATCATCATCATCATCATCATCATCATCATCATCATCATCATATTAGCCTCTTGGAATGGTAAAAATATGTTACGGAAGGTAACTTCCTTAATCAAATATAGAGTTTCTACAAGAAACCTATATTAAAACTCTTACTTAGTGGTGGAATACTGAAAGCTTTCATCCAAAGACCAGAAGCTAGAAAATGATGAAAACTAATATCACCACTATTCAACATTTTACCGGAAATAGTAAATCAAAAACAAACAAATGCACAAACAAAACAAATAAAAGGCATAAGAATTGGAAAAAAAAAAATGTAATTGTTCTCAGATGACATGATGTGTATACAGAATACCAAAGACCTGAGAGATAACCTACTAAAATTAATAAGTGATTTTAACAAAGTGGCTGAATATAAGGTCAATATACAAAAATATAATATCAGAAAATATCTGATAAATCTAACCAAAAATGTACAAGACCTCTATGATGAAACCTACAAAGCATTTTTACAGAGATTTTTAATGGCTTACATAAATTGTGGGATAGTCTATGTTCATGGATTTTAAAAAGTAATAGACTAAAAAATATTATTTCTCCCAAGTTGATTTATAGATTCATTTGACCCAAGAAGAACATGACCCCTCCATCACACTATAAACAAAAATTAATTCCAGGTGCATCTAGATTTAAATGCTGAAAGCTATAAAGTTTCTAGAATATCTTAATGATCTAGGAGTAAGCAAAGATTTCTCATATATCACAACAATTAAATTTTTTATTTGAAATTAGAAACATTCTGTTCATTAAAATTAACCATAAAGACAGTGAAAAGGTAAGCCACAGAGGTTAGAATATTTGCAAGGGAAAAGAGAGTAGTATTCAGAATATATATAGAACTTCTACAAATCAATAAGAAAAGATATACAACCCAATGAAAAAATACACAAACACTTGATCATATCACAAAAGTGAATATCTAAATGGCCAATATGCATTTTAAAAGGTATTCAAAATTATTAATTATGACAAATGAAAATTAAAACAACAATAGCTATACCACCACACACCTACTGGAATGGAAGAAAAAGACATGAAAATACAAAGTGTTGTGAAGATAGAGCTCCTCTAAAACACCCATATTCTTCTGATAGGGCTATGAACTGATATAATCACTTTGGAATACCATTAGGCACTATCAACTAAACACAGGTGAATGTTAAGGCCCAGAAATTCTATTCCTAAAAGAAATGTGACTATGTACATCAGAAGACATGCCACAAGAATGTTCATAGCATTTAGCTTTAATAGAAAATACTAGAATTAACAACAAATATCTTCCAATAGTAGAATAGATTACTATTCAAAGTGTATGCATTCAAATAAAAAAATGGTGTGTTCAAATAATAGATTTAAAAAGTAGCATACTCAAATAATAGATAAAAAGTGGGTATTTTCTTTTTATTTATTTACTTATTTTTTTGAGAGGGAGAGAGAGAGCATGTGCACACCTGTGTGTGCACAAGCCAAGGAGGAGCAGAGAGGGAGAGAGAGAATCCCAAGCAGGTTCCGCACTGTCAGGACAGTGCCCAACCCTAGGCTCAACCCAACAAATTAGGAGATCACGACCTGAGCTGAAATCCAGAGTTGGACACTTAACTAACTGACTGAGCCATCCAAGTGCACCAAAAAGTGGGTATTTTTAAGATTGGTATATATACAACTATACTCAACAACATAGATAAATCTTATGGACATAATATTACATGAAATAATAAGATTACATACTGTATGATTCCACCTATAGGAAGTTCAAAATAGGGAAAACTAATCTTTGATGATGTAGGTATGAATACTGCAGAGGCATGAGGAAGTCTGGAGATGTTCATATGTTTTACATCTTCATCAGAGTGGTGTTTATGTGGGTGTAACTAAGAGGAAACAGTGAGTAAAACTAATGTAAAAGGCTAGTGCTCTGTATGATAAAACAGTGCTCGATTTGGTTGGAGCATTTGGAAGTCACAGAAGTGGTATGGATGTCTTTACACTTTGGTACCTTACTGTGGACTCTTACATTAACAATATAGAGGGTGTTCTCATTTTGCGAGGCAACAAAGAACTACAAAAGACTGTTGAGCAGGGCATACATAAGCTCAGAGTTGTATTTAATGAAGGATAACTGATAAACAAAACATTGTGCAAATCATTTTGTCAAAAAGTACGCACAAACTCTTGTTAATATTCTCGGAGCACAGTCACATACTGTACATGATTGTAGAGTAAATAAAGAGGATATTAAGAAATCAGAAGCATACCTTTTCAAGTGTTGTTTAAAATAATCTATGACATAGTGTTAAGAGGATAAAAATCTTAAAAACTGATTTAGCTCCAAAACAGTATACTAAACATTTTTAAGACCTATATTTATACGTTGTGGTTGGTACTTACTTCATCAAATGTAAAATCCTCCAAATTTATTTCTTCATATTCTTCTTCAGATTCTTCATTCTTAATAGCCTCTAAAGCTGTTGTCAGTTTCTTTCGCAAAAGGAAGCCCTTCCAAACTGCCTAAACAAAAATTTAAAGCATGTTATACAAGGTTATAGATCAAACTACAAACCAGATTCTCTGTGTTATCCCATTAGGAAGATAAAACATCTAAGCCCTTAGTTTAATGGCTCAATAATCTGTTTTTTGAACTTTATGTGACACTTAAAACTGTAAGATAAATTAAACAACTGCATGTGTCTAAAGTTCTGAATCTCAGGAGACTTTCCTTGTGGTAAGCAGAAAAGAAGCTTTAAAACTCCCTCAACTGCACATGTAGGTCAACCAATCAATTATCTGACAATTCCTCCAGGACCCATTCTAAACTAAGAAGAAAGAGATACAAAGGAAAACCAATTTTTCTCATTTTCAAATAATTGTGTATAAAATAAACTAACACACATTTAGGAAAATTTCAACATATACAAATGGCCATATTAGAAAGGTATAATCTTTTCCCATAACTATTAACTAATTTCATTTTAAAATAAACTAAGCACATAAAAATAGAATTAAAATCATTCAGATTCCTTAATAATCTTGGAGTCGAGAAAGCTTTCCTAACTATAACTCCAAGAACTCTGTAGCTTTTAAATAAGTAATTTTATATACTACTAGGGAGTGAGATCTAAGACCCATTAAGTATAAAAAAACAAGATAGAAACAAGTGTATATTCTATGCTGCCATTTTTATGCAACTTTGCATATAAATATACAATAAATACATAAATTATATAAACATATACACTCAAATATATTCATATATGTATATGTGGTTGTTAATATTTACAAATAAAAGTTATGAAATTAATTTTAAAAATCATTAAGTATAGAGGCAGAAAATAGGATGCAAGATATAGCAACAGAAACCAGACTTCTCTGAATATACCTTTCTTAGATTTGACTTTGGAACTGTGCACACGCATAAGATAACTATAAAACAAACAAATATGAAATAAAAAGGAAGTCCTGAAGAGATACAAAAATATATTTTACGCTGGGGGCATATACACATGGAAGTTATTTAAAGTGACTTTAAAATATATTTATTCCTAGTCAAATATACTCAAAAGACAAATTTAACTACAGAAGATACCTTAAATATGTTTTCAATAATCATATTGTTAGTAATAATATTGGTATTGTTATCATGGAAAATCTATATATGGAGAACTGGAATATATGGACAATAGCCAGAACATACATGACAATAGAAGTCACTCATAACCTCTGCAGCAACTAGCCTTGAAAGCCAAACCACAACCTCGGCAACAAGTAGCCAAGAATGGTCAAGATTTTGTCAATGACTGTCAGCCTCCCTACTTTTGTCCCTACTTCCAACTCAGGATCAACCAAAGCTAGCCAAATAAGCTTCCCAACCAATCACACAATATGTCCTACTTTCTAGCTGCCCACTTTAATACCTTCCCCCTGCCCAAACCCTCCAATTAGACCATACCTGAAGATCTTTTTTTTCTCTCTCCCTTTCTCCACTAAAGGTTTCCTACTCTCCCCCCTGCCTTTGAGACTATGCCAAAGGCAACTGATAGTGGCTGAGTCCCTTGCTATAGCAGTCTCTGAATAAATAGCCTGTTTTTTTTTTTCTTATTTGTATGGTCCTTATTTATTTTCACTAAGTATGTGCATGTGTACACAGACACAAACACAGATACACACACACACACACACACACACACACAGAAAGGAGAGTGAAAAGGAGGAAAAAAATAAAGAACAATTATGTTAATGTTATTGGGAACCAGAAATTTCCATAGAAGAAAAAAGATGCAAATATAAAATCGAATAAGTAAAAATCCTGTAGTCCTAAATTTAATATTAAAATGTCAGTATGAACCCATGGTATACTTTTTCTTAAAAATATGTATTTGTTGGGGCGCCTGGGTGGTGCAGTCGGTTAAGCGTCCGACTTCAGCCAGGTCACGATCTCGCGGTCCGGGAGTTCGAGCCCCGCGTCAGGCTCTGGGCTGATGGCTCAGAGCCTGGAGCCTGTTTCCGATTCTGTGTCTCCCTCTCTCTCTGCCCCTCCCCCGTTCATGCTCTGTCTCTCTCTGTCCCAAAAATAAATAAACATTGGAAAAAAAATATGTATTTGTAAGCTCCGTACAATGAAAAAACATCTAGAAACCATGACCATACCAGTAACAACAACACCTCTAAGATCCTAATTCACTCCTAAACCCAGGCTGGGTTTCTAAATATTATCCCCATTAAAGGAACCAAAGATCTTTGGGGCAATGTCTGAATCTAGGCCTGGCATAAAATGTATGCAAAATGAACCTGAAACATAATGGCACATTAGAAAGCAAGGGAAGTTTTTAAAAACTACTGAATTGTATCACCAAAGCTAATTTGAAGCTAACCTGGTCAAATGAGGGACAATTTGAGCATCAGTAAGAGTAAATTTGCAATGGAATTAAACATCATATATTTAAAAATTTTATGTGTATATTATGATAGAACACATTATGGTGACCGCTGAAGGATACTGGGAAACCTTATTAATCTAAAACTTGCTAAAAAAGCATCAAGCATTTAACCTGCCTTTCCAGTGAATTGCACCTCAAGGTAAACTACATAGTCAATTAAACAAAGTTTCTCTCTATAGACATTTTTTTGTTTAAAAATGAAGAAATTACACAGAGTATCAATATTTTGCAAACTCTTTACAAGAATTGACCTAGGCAATTATTAACAATGGTCACTAATATTCCTAAAAGAGAGGCAACTAGACATTAGGTGCTTCTTCACTGTAATACATACAACCACTTAGAGGTATTCATTTTTTAAACTTTTTTTAAAAATGTTTATTCATTTTTGAGAAAGAGAGAGAGCACGAGCAGGGGAGGGGCAGAGAGAGAGGGAGACACAGAAACTGAAGCAGTCTCCATCCAGGCTTTGAGCTGTCAGCACAGAGCTCGATGTGGGGCTCAAACTCATGAACCATGAGATCATGACCTGAGCTGAAGTCAGACACTTAACTGACTGAGCCACCCAGGCGCTCCTGAAGTATTCTTGATAAAAAAACAAAACAAAACAAAACAAAACAAAAAAACCCAAATAATAGCAAATTTTATAACCTACTGTCAGCTTACAGAAAAAGAAGGAACCAAGAAACATGTATGTGATGCTATGGGGATACATTTGGCAAAACTCAGAAAGCAGAAAACTACAGGAGAAAAGACCTAGTTTCCTTAATAAACTGTAAGGAAAAAAGAGAGGGGGTTACTATTTATTTAAAAGACTTTTAAGTATTATTTAAACCAAAGGCAAAATGATGACTTTATTTGTATTTTGATTAAGAAAAATGTGTAAACAAACATTGATAAAACAATATAAATTTGAATATTGATTTGATATTTGGTGACATTGAAAAATAAGTTTCAATTTTTGGTTGGTAATGTAGTTCTACTTAAAGCAATAGGTCTTATAGAAATTCATAGTGAAATATTTACAAAAGAAATGGTATCTAGGATTTGTTTCAAATAGTCTAGTGATGAGTGGGGAGAGGTGGGTTGGTTACAGAAGACATCAAGGTGACATGGAGACCTAGGGAAAACAGGGTATAAAGGGAAACTTAAATCCAGGCTTTCAATAATAAGGATCAGCTCACTGTGGTTCACAACGGATCCAGCCCAACTCATCAGGGACAGGACTTCTCCAAAGCTCTAGAGTACAATATATAGTGTGTGTCTTTCTGGTGTGATATATATATAGATACTTTCCTCCAGCCATCTCTGATCAGTTTATGAGAAACAAAGGTATTATAGATGTTCAGATTCATCTTCTAGCTTATTTGTTTCTGTCAAGATCTTAACTTTTCCCCAGTAATCCATCTACAATTAATTCATGTTTCTCACATATTCAAATTAATTCCCTGGCCAAGAAATTGTATCTATTTTCCCTCCAACTCCCATCAACTCCCATTCCCAAAACATACTATACACTTGTTCTCTCCTAAAGGATTACTTCGTAATCATCTGGCAAACAACGAGAGGGTGAGAAAGACCATGGGGCAAAAGGTTAACATAAGGTAATTCGGGTATCCAGACCTTGCTAGCTCTGTAATCCTGACAGACAGCTGTCAAGGATGCCTCAAAACCTGTCTTCATTTCAGCCAACCAGAAAGGGAAAAGAATATGAAGGGATATCTGTGCAATGTTTAATGATCCAGACATGGAGGTGGTGTACATGTCTTTCATGTACAATGTATTGACTAGAACTCAGAAAAGGAGCCATGCTAAAGTGCAGGAGAAGTTGGGATATCTAGTCTGGCTGTATGCTTGGAACAAGGGGAGAATGTGAGTTTTAGTGAGCAGAGAGCATCCTCTACCACATCCATCATAAAATGTTTATTTTGCTCTTTCTAAAGCCCAGGCTCTTTCTATTGCTTTGTGCTCTGCTTTCTAGAATGGTAAGTCGGTCTAGAATTCATACTAATACGAATGCTGTAAGTAACCAGATGACTGTACGCAAGAGAAGAGAAAATGAAACTGAGATCACTTCAGGTGATTTTAAATACCATGGTGTACAATAAAAGAGACTTGCTCTAAGCTGCAAAGGCTGAATTATGCTTACTTGTGTCATAGATACACAGAAGCTCAACAAAAGGACATTCATCAGAGATATCAGTCCCTGAACTAGACTGTTTCACAAAGTGATAAACTTCTGTTTCTTCATTGAACAGAATGAAGCAAAAGTTTCAGATCCACGTAATGCTGAACAAAGTATTCCTTATCAACTGATGACAGGAAGGAGTTTGGTCTGCATGATATATTCATTTCTCATGTTGCAGAATAATATTTTGAGATAGTAACTGAGGTTCTTTCTTTTCCTCAGAGTTTCCTTGAATCCATTGAATCCCCCCCCACTCCCACCACCATTCAGGCATTAGTAATGTCTATGCATTGCCCTTAGGAGTACAGTTCAGACAAATTAAGTAAACTGAAATACTGAATATATTTATTAGAACCATAGCAAAGATAATGTTGAAAACTATGGCTTTCGTAGTAAAAGCCAGCAACTTAATTTTAAGGCTATTCCTCTAGTTGGTTATTCCAATACCTTGGAGGCATCCATGACTCCTTACGCTCTCTTACATACCACATCCCCATGAACTGATGTTATCAGGTCTACCTTCAAAATAAACCAACATATATTCTGGCCTGTGATTTTCTTACTGCTTCTACTGCAACACTCTGGCCTCATGCTACCATTATCCCTTGTCTGAATTACTGTAATATCCCCTAACTGATTTTGCTGCTTCTACCCCTGCCTTCCTACAGTATAATCACAACATAAAGGAAACTTGATCATGTGAGCCTACTGCTCAGATTCCTATAATACCTTCCCATGTCATTCAGATGACAAGCCAAAGTCTTTACACTGACTTATGATTTGTAAGTGTTACCCTTCTCCCCTCCATCACTGTCCAGTCACCCTGGCTTCTTGTTGCTCTTTATAAACACTGCAGTATGCTCCTAAATCAGTGCCTTTGATCAGATATTCCACTGTCTGGAGTGTTCTTCTCCCAGATAGCCAATGGCTTAATCTGTCACTGTAATGTCACGTTTTCTGGTCTTCCATTTCCATCATATCTAAAATGATAAACTTTCCCTTGATACTCCTGTCCTGTTTATCCTGCTTTATTTTTCCTCTTCGTACTTATCATTATCTAACATATTTATTTACTAACTGCACATCCCAACAGAATGTAAGCTAGTAAGATTTTTGTGCCAAGAAATATTTGTTGAAAGAATGGATAAAGGGAAACACTAATTTTTTGGTTACTCTCTTTCAATTCGGTACCATTATGTATTTATTTAGTTTATTTAGTTTATGTATTTATTTAGCATTATTTAGTTTTATGTATTTATTTAGTTTATTTTATATTTATGTATTTTTTTAGTTCTGCCTCTTCCACTAGAATGTAAATTCCATGAGGGCAGAGAACTTATACAGTTTGTTTATAGTTATGGTTCCTAAGCCCATAATAGTGCTTGACAAATAGTAGATTCTAAAAAATATTTGATGAATAAATAAATAATAGGATGAATGTGATTAGGTTGAACTTCACTTCAAAATCTGATCTTGGTGAGGTTGAATCAAGTCATTCAATACTTGCTCCCTGAATTTCTCATTAAAACGTGTATTTGAAGAACTTTAACAATTATTTTAGTATATTTTTAAACATGCTTCTAAAAAGAGCTCTAGATTAGGCCAAGTGAGAGTTGCTATGGCTAATCAAATGTTACCAAATGTGGCAAATGGCATATTTGATCAGAAGCTTTAAACATGATTGTATGGCTCAGTTTGGCCCTTGGTCATGAGAAATGTATTTCTAAATTATAGGCTACTCTTTCACCCTAGATACTAAGCACAGGCACAACCAACCTATGGCCTACCTGTCACCTAACTAAGTAAGAAGCAAATCCAGTAGCTGTAAATCACTGATATCCATGGGTTGTCCATTATATAGAATTACTCAGTGAAAGATGACAACTACATCTCTCAGGACTATTTCACCAAAAGATTAAAGCTAACCTGTATAAGAATAGCAGCCTTTTCCCTCTGTTCTTGGATATTCACGGTGTTTTCCCTTTTTTCTTCCTTTAAAATAGTTTTATTCTTGATGCAGTCATTGGGTTGGAATGTCAGGGGTCCTACTGCAGCAGTAGGTAGCCTTGTAGAGAAATGAATCTGTCTGCGTACCATGTAGCCACGCCAGTGTGCCTGGATTACCAAAGCTGCCATACTATTCAGAAGAGAAAAGAAAACATGGTTAGAACCCATAAAAACAGTTGTAGGTAAGAGGTCCTCATAAACTATATGTATAAACATGAACTGCATCAAGTATTATTTTAAAATAAGAACATCTTTTGTTAACAATAGGCACATAGGTAAAAATGGTACGGAAAACCTTCAAATCTGAAAAAGAGAAACGGGCCAGTAACTTAGAGAGGGATGTGAGGACTAGGGGGTTTTTGTTTGTTTCTTTTAAGGAGGAAAATAATACCAAGATTTGTGTATGATAACGGAGTATGTTGATCAAGTAGAAAGGGGGGAAAGTGATGACGTTGCAAAAAGGGACAATGCAGGAGCCTATGCTGAGATGGCAACAGAGGATGTGATCTTCTCCACAGTGGAGAGACTAGCCTTGGACAGAAGGGAGGGCCCCCTCCACTGTAAGAGAAAGGACCCGTGAGGTTATTACTAGCTGCACTTCCCTCCCTGCCCATGACAAATATTAAATCATGCCCTTACAAACCCAGTAGTAAATTCTAACATTTTCCCAGCCTACATCTATTTGCTAATTTCAGGCACTGAATCAATCAATGCTGTGTTTTTTCCACACCCGCTAGGCTGCCCAGCAACATTAGCAAAATTTGAATAACAATGATAGTAAGTGGATTCTCAGTGTGCTTCACCTTTTAACTCTTCCTAATTGGGTAAATTTCCCTTTTTCCACACAGATTATTGCAGGAATATTATCAAGGTACTGAGTATAGTCAAAATACTAATTATTCTGTCTTAAGTGCTCTTTAAATTCCAGAGTTTAGTTTAAAAGGCACATGAAGGAGAAGTGATTCTTGCATATATCCCTTGCATTAAAACAGTTTTCAGTAATTTTGTAATTATTGGCAATTCAAATGAAATTTTCTCCTTCCTCATACTAGTAAGTTTAAGGCAAAGTGGAATTGAGTCATAAACTCTGCCAGACAAGACCACACATTGTTTTTTCTCATAGTAGTATATTTGTGGGAAATTAGGAATGATGTAACCATTTTTATCATTATTTTGCTTTATTATCACTATTGTTATCATCATCATAATTTTACTTAAACCCTGTAGAAGACTTCAATCTATTTTGCTATGAATAGAAAGTTAAAGTTAATGGATAAAACTTCTGACCTAAGATAAACTACTTGAACTCCACATGCTTAGAAAAAATAATCACATTCCAACAAATCATGTCCTTCTGTAGGGTAAACAGAACTATAAATTTTGCAATGGATTTAATTTGTATTCAGTTGTTCAATTATCAATTCATTCTTTCTTCTTTTGAACAGAAACAAGTTAGGAAGTTTTTAAAGCACTATAATTGGTATTTTGGCTGATAAATAATCTGAAAATGTATTTATCATTTATAACTGGTAAAAAGTGAAAGGTTTGTAAGAAAACTCATTTAAGCTCAGACAGCATCTTGTATTTTTCTACAAATGCATACAAGTTTCACTGACTGTAACTGTAAATTTCTTCTAAAGCTCACCAGTCATTGAGTGTCTGAATTCCTCAGCCCAACATCATCAAAATTTCCCAAGGAAAACAACAACAGTAGGGATATTTTCCTCAGTTACACTAACACAAGGACTGCTTTTTACTACACTGAAAGCAGGTAAACATGATGACTTTGGGGCTTCCTGAATGTAGGATGTTTCCATGTTGAGAAAAACAGCTTGTATCAGAGGTGCCTACCATCATCACCATCACCATCATTATCTTTTTTTTTTTTTTTTTTTTGGCAAAAATCATAATGATAAAATGCCCTTAGCATAAGAACACATGTAAATCATACTTAGGAAACATCTACACAACTGACAGTGAATCTTCCTGAAACACTGAATGGTGAGGTTCAGTAAATGCGTACATTTTCTTTTCTCATTATTCTTTAGGACCTTGGCTTGTCTATATTTTCAGTTCGCCATCCTTCCTTATTATCATCATTTAGTTATTTTATTGATAACAGATTAAGAAGTTCTAAATGTTGTTTATGTGAAATTACAATAGGCAGGTCTGGAATGTTTGGAGTTGATGGGGTTCAGAATACGCTACCTCAAAATACGGCATCCTGGTATACTAAATATTTTAAGCTGTAGGAATTTGAGAAACAGCCTGTCCAGAAAGGACTTTTTGACCTTCACCAGAAGCAGGCCATAAGACCCTCTTGTGAGAGGTGTCCTTCATGTACCTAGAGAAAAGAAGCATTCTCATCTGAAGATGGATGACAAGAAGAATCTGAATCAACAGGCCTTGCTAAATTTACCCCAGTTTACTACACTTAGCTTATACCCTTTGCCCTAATTATATTTTCCACAACCTTCTATTCTTTGTCAAACCTGATACGAAAATGCTCAGGTTTAACTATTTCTTCAGGTCTTATTTCTTTAGGAAGACTTCCATGTCATGTGAAACATATTAAATACATTTTTATGCCTTTCTCTTATTAATTTACCTTTTGTTTCAGGGATACCAGCTGAGAACTTAGAAAGGTAGAAGTAAAAGATGATATTTTTCCTCCCTTACAGAGCAAAATTAATTGATTAAATAAACTGATGAAATATAAAGGAGGAAATATTAGAGCCACTTTCAAGAAAATTAAAAAAATTTTTGCACAAGGAATACATCTTAGTTTTAGCATATCAAACTTTTTAATATAGCTTTCAGAAAAGAAATCACCATTCACACTGACAACTTCTGATAGAATAAAGACTGGGAAAAATAAGGTCAGCTACTGTGATTTTCTGCATTCTGCCCTATTCAGCACCTGTTATTTTAGGAAAAGCTAAATTTAACCATTTTTTAATTTTGTTGGCTTGACAGTGAGGCCAACAGTAAAAAAAGAAAAAAAGTTGACAAGCTGAAGTAATATTTATCTTTTCTGGTTCGATAAAAAAATTAAAGCCATTAGCTTTATAAAAGTATTTAAGTGTTGGCAAACCATAAAACAGACTCTTAACTATTAAGAACAGGAGGTGGGTGGGGGGATGGGTTAAATGGGTGATTTGTACTAAGGAGGGTACTTGTATGATGAACACTAGGTGTCGTATATAAGTGATGAATCACTAAATCCTACACTTGAAACTAATCTACTGTATGTTAACTGGAATTTAAATAAAAACTTGAAAGAAAAAAATTAAAAATTAAAGTATTTAATAGTTGGAAGAGGTTTATGTGATTAATATCAAAGAATATTGGCATACTTTATAGGTTGTTATGCCTACAAAAATTATAGCATATGCATTCAAATACTTGCATAGATGCTTATTAAATTATTCTGAGATCAAGAAGCAAAGACATAGTACATGAAAAGGTATACTTTTAAAAATGAAATTACCTGATTATTCAGCAAGTTTTCTTTATATTATTTTTAGAATAGCAGAGTGTTTTATTTTTTCTTAAAAATTCATTTTAATTGTTTAAAGATTAGAAAGCAGAAAGAATAATTTTACATGTACTTATTTTCAATGAAATACTAGTCAATTAAATCAGAACCTGCCAAAATTCAAATTCATATGTACTAACATTAATAATTTGTACACATCATAAAAACATAATTAAAGGAATTCGTATGAAATACAATAGTGATTTAAATCCCTTACCAAAACATGGACGAATACTATCAATAAAAAACACAAAATATACAATGTAAAGAAAAATGATGTATTAAGTCTTACATTTTATTACGGTGTCCAATATTTTGGCAATTCCTCAGCAGAGAACTTGTCATTACTGTTTCCACAAATGGGATTCTTTTAGTGGGGATACTGTTTAATTTGCTGTCTTCTCTCTTCTGGTCTGCTATTTCTCCCTGATTTCTTCCTTCTGTATCTTCACATAGAGAGGATTTGGTTGATGCAGAATGACTAGAGTCAGAATTCATCCATTTCTCAGAAATATCTGGTGATTCCAGTTTATACCTGTCTGCACAAGACTGGAGAACTCTATTTTGCAGGATGCTATCACTATCTGTAGCTAAATGATTTTGCTGGACTTCTGATTCTTCTCTCTGGGTGATACGTGCATCCCCGCGTTCATGTGAATATCGGCATTCATTACTAAGTGTCATTAATTTCTTAAAATAATGGCAGAGATTTTCTGCAGCATCCAAGGTGACCAAATTTCTAAACAAATAAAGAAGACATTTAATAATAAGAACTATATCACCAATATTAAAACTGATATAGGTTTTGGAAATTTCCCTTGTGTGGTTTGACATGAAAATTAAGCTTTACTACAATATTCATTAAAAACTTATTTCTGGTTGTTTATATAGAAATTGATCTCATTTCTAACAAAATTTGAAAATATTTGTTTAGCTAATTTAGATCCATCAATCCAGACAAAATGTCTGGAAGTTTTAGAACCATTTTTATTCTAGGTATTTTTGGTACAATTGAATGAGAAAAATCCATGCTTTTACTACCATAAACATGAGAGATCATGGCTGCCTAAATTTGGAGAAGTTATTTATGAAACAAAGTTAAAAGTACTTTCTACATTGACTCTTGCCATGCAAAATATTTGTATTGGACTTTTAAACAAAGAATTTATATTATGGGAAAGTTTTTATTCCTCTTTTTCTCTGGAAAAACAATCCATTGCAAAGAGAATTCAAATACTTTAAGATATAAATGGTGGTGATTCTCTTAAATAATTGTTGAATTTTTATCTTATGGAGGCTATGGCTTATGTAATTAATCAAACTTTCTGTTTGCCAGATTTGAGGATCTCAGTAGCAAATGTAAAGAACTTTGCACTTGTATGAGCCTTTTTCTTGGCTACACTTTATTTACCTTCCATTATTTTTTTTTTAATTTTACTTACTCCAACTGTATATTTTCTAACTATATTTAATATATAGCCACAAGCTGCCTTATCTTTTTCTTGCAGGATATAAATAAACACAAAACTTTTTTTTTTTAATTTTTTTTTCCAACATTTATTTATTTTTGGGACAGAGAGAGACAGAGCATGAACGGGGGAGGGGCAGAGAGAGAGGGAGACACAGAATCAGAAACAGGCTCCAGGCTCTGAGCTATCAGCACAGAGCCCGACGCGGGGCTCGAACTCACGGACCACGAGATTGTGACCTGGCTGAAGTCGGACGCTTAACCGACTGCGCCACCCAGGCGCCCAAAACTTTTAACCATACCATAAAAATGAAAGTTATAGTTCCTCAATGTAGAGATAAATAGTCTTGTGTTCACAAAGGTATTATCAGACATTAGCATAGTCTCCTCCAATATATATTTTTGATATTTTGTATTTCATTCATTTTGGTGGCTAATAATGTAGAAAAGTTTCAATTCAATATTGGGATATCAAGTGGTTATTGATTAGGTATTGAATTCACCATTTATTATTAATATAAAATATAGTCTATTTTCCATTATCAATGCCAAAATGAAACAAGTTGCAATGACAATGGATTATCCAAAGGAATTGAGAAATCTATGTTTCAACATGAGAGCTATCAAGGGTCACCTTTAAACAAAAAATTGCATATTACCATACATATTCAAGGAAGTATGTTTAGTTTTGCACAAAATAAATGTAAATAACCTTAGTCTTTATTAAAAGTAAAAAGTAATTATCTGTAACAATTATTATTTTTGAGAGAGAGAGAGAGAGAACAAGCAAGAGGCAGAGAGAGAGGGAGAGAAAGAGAATCCCAAGCAGGCTCCGCACAGTCAGTGTAGAGCCTGAGGTGGGGCTCCAAGTCACAAGCAGTGAGATCAAGATCATGACCTGAGCCAAAATCAAGAGTTGGATGCTTAACCAACTGAGCCACCAGGCACCTAGGTGCCCCAGACAATTGGGATTATTTAAAAGCTGTGAGATTTGTTTTTAATCTCAATGGACTATATACAAAAATATTTAAATAGAAAAACCAAATCTTATGTAGATGGGCATGTATGAAAGTGCAAAGAGCAATAATTTAAAAATTAAGTTTAGGTATTTAGAAGCGCATATTACAATTATAATTCCAGTTTTTTTTTTTTAATTTTTTTTTTAACGTTTATTATTTTTGGGACAGAGAGAGACAGAGCATGAACGGGGGAGGGGCAGAGAGAGAGGGAGACACAGAATCGGAAACAGGCTCCAGGCTCCGAGCCATCAGCCCAGAGCCTGACGCGGGGCTCGAACTCACGGAGCGCGAGATCGTGACCTGGCTGAAGTCGGACGCTTAACCGACTGCGCCACCCAGGCGCCCCTATAATTCCAGTTTTAATGGAGAGTCCTCATAAGTGAAATATGAAATCACTTTCCTTTTTCATTTGTGTTTTCTGGAGCAATGCAAATTAGAAAATATAATTATAGAGGGGTGTCCAGGTGGTTCAGTCAGTTAAGCGATCAAGTTTTGATTTCGGCTCAGGTCATGATCTCATGGTTTGTAAGATCAAGCCCCACACTGGTCTCTGTGCTGACAGTGCAGAGCCTGCTTGAGATCCTCTCTCTCCTTCTCTCTGCTCCTTCCCCACTCATGCTCTTTCAATAAAAAATATTTAAAATCTTTAAAAATAAAAGAATATACAGTTATAGAAAGATCAAATATAATTCATTCATACTAACGTACACTGAATTTTGGATGGGGAATGGGAAATTCTCTTTCTTTTATATCTAATTAGGATTCTACTCTCAACTTCTGTTCTTCTGAATATGTGCATGTGTTGACTGCTCTTATCTACTGTGCGCTCATATTTGAATATATTAATATAATATATGTACAATATACCTAATACATAATAAATGTTGTATGCCTTGCTCCATTGTAACTGTTTGTCTAATTTTCTCTTATGCTAATCTGTTAATTCTTTGAAGATAAAGTATAAAACTTAGCTTATTGTGTATTTTGTTTACAATCACTGTCAAATAAATTTATGACTGATTCATTGAATGACTGACTGAAGGGATGTTTGAATCTTGTCTTGAAGCTATCCTCATGATTTCACTTATCTAACACTTTAGCATTGAAATTATATTTTAAATTGTGTTTTTAAGAGAGAATATCCTTAAAATACACAGTACTAATTTTAAAAAAAATCACTGTATTAATCAGCATATTTTTTTAATTATATACATAAATTGCATTATTTCTTTAAATTATGAGAAGAGAACAGTCTTACCCTTTCACAGTAATATACTTTTCAATTAGTAAGTTGAATTCTTGAATCTGGGACTGACAAAGTACCAAGAAACGTCCTAATTCTGGTTGATAGTATTCTTCAGTCTGCCTTTCTGAACAAGAGTTTATCATTTCACCATTGAGGATTCTTAGAGCCGGTAACACTTTAAGTAGAGAATGCCTATTGAAAGCAGGAAAAAAATAAATAATCTTGAAGAGTTTATATCTAAAATAACCATATACCTATTACTTAAACAATATAAACACAGAGTGTATCTCAGAAAATGCTATTGGTTTTTTAGAGAAAATGATACTGTTAAATTTGTTAAAAAATTCTATGGTATCATGTCATGTACAAAGTTAAATTTTAGAGACTTGACAATATTTAACCATTTTCTTCTATAACATAAACGGGAAATTTAGCAGATGGAAACTTGGGCTGGGAGTAAATAAAAAGCTACATTATAAAAAAATAATATCAGATACAGTATTTTAAAAATATGATAATTAAAATAAAACTACTGAAATTTGTTGCTTATTTTAGAAGTAGAGGTAAATTCTGATTGTTTCTCTTAGTAAAACATAGTTAAGAGTAAGGCTAAAAACAAGAGTAGTAAACAATCACCTTGTTTATCATGATCTGAAAAATCTAAACTTATATTTCTTTTTGAATCTTGCTAAAAATTATAATAATAAAAATATTCAAAGAATGCACAAAAGTCTGTACCAATTTAAAAGGCTAATGGTGTGAAAATCCAAGCCAGACAGCAAGAGCTTTCCACCAGGCCTAGCCATTTATAAATATTTACCCAATCCTTTCACAAGGGTACTGTGGGCCTCTTTTCACAAGGCCATTAATGGTCAAAGGGGTAAAATGGACTTCTTGAATGAATAAATCCCCCTTAGTTAGAAACTAAATTTCTTACGAGGAAAAGTACAAAAATGAATAAAGATATCAACAAACTAAATAAATGGGAAGATGTCCAATGAAGATATTTTCATAGATAGGAAGTTCAAAATTGTTCAAGAGATCATTCCTTCTCAACTTGATCTTTAGATCCAATGCAACTCCACTAAAAGTACCAGTAAGGTATTTTGTGTATATCAACAAAATGATACTAAAATTTACAAAAAGAAGCCAAAAAACAACAACAACAACAAATCCAAAAAGACAAAAACAGAAAACAAACAAGAATAGCCAATTCCACACTGAAAAAGAAGAAAAAAGTTGGAAAACTATCACTTTTCACTTCACACTTACTACAAAGCCACAGTAATTATGAGAGTATGGTATTGGAGAAAGAATAGACAAATTTATCAATGGAAGAGAGACAGACAAATATATCAATGGAAGAGAAGAGAGAACCCAGAAGTAGACCTCCATGAATCTACTAAAGTGGATCAGTCAACTAATCTTTGACAAAGAAGAAAGGCAATACAATGGAACAAAGATAAATGATGCTAGAACAATCAGACATTTACATGCAAAAAAGTGAATCTAGACACAGACTTTGTATCCTTCAAAAATTTAACTCAAAATGGGTCATATACCTAAATGTAAAATGCAAAACCATAAAACTACTAAAAGATAACATAGGAGAAAAAATTAGACGGCACTGGTATAATGATGACTTTTTGATAATAACACCAAAGATACAATTCATGAAAGAAATAATTGATAAGATGGACTTCATTAAAATTAAAAACTTCTGCCCTGTGAAAGAGTATCGAGAGAATGTGAAGACAAGCAATATACTAGGAAAAATATCTGATAAAGGGTTGTTATCCAAAATATATGAAGAAATTTTAAAGCTCAATAAGAAAATAAATACACCAATTAAAAAATGGGCCATAAAACTTAATAGACCCCTCACCAAAGAAAATATACAGATGGTAAGTAAGTATATGAAAGATACTCAATATCATTTGTCATTAGAAAACTGTAAATTAAAATAACAAGATACTATTATCTATTAGAATGGCCAATTCAAAACGCTGACAATACCAAGCGCTGGTGAGGATGTGAAGAAATAAAAACCCTCATTCGTGCTGGTGGAAATGCGGAATCAGTGCAGCTATTTCGGAAGATAGTTTGGTGGTTTCTTACAAAAGTTAACATACTTTTACTATACGATCCAGCAATGTGCTTCTCAGATTTACCTAAATGAATTAAAAACCGTATCTGCACCAAAATCTCCACACAGATGTTTATAGCAGCTTTATTTGTAATTGCCAAAACCCGGAAACAACCAAGATGTCCTTCAGTAGGTGAAAGGATAAATAAACTGAGTTACATCCATACAAAGGAGTATTATTCAGCACTAAAAAGAGATGAACTATTAGGCCATGAGTAGGGAAGATTCCTAAATGCATATTACTAAGTGAAAAAAGACAATCGGATAGGGCTACATGCTGTACAATTCCCACTATATGAAATTCTTGAAAAAAGTCAAAACTGAGACAGTAAAAAGATCAGTGTTTTCCAGGGATTAAGGTGAAGGGAGGGAGGAACAGGCAAAGCACAGAGCATTTTTAGGGCAGTGAAACTATTCTGTATGATACTACTACATAGCAAATACATGTCATTATACATTTGTCAAAATCCATAGAATACACAACACCAAGAACAAACCCTAATGTAAAGTATGGACTTCAGGTGATAATGATGTGTTGATGTAGGTTCATCAATTATAACAGGTATACCACTTTGGTGTAGGATGCTGATAGTCGGGGAGGTTGTCTATGTGTGGGGACAGGGTATACCTGGGAATTCTCTGTATTTTCTGCTTAATTTTGATAACCTGATCTTCTCTAAAATATAAAGTTTTTTAATGTTTATTTATTTATTTTGAGAGACAGAGTACAAGTGGGGAAGGGGCAGAGAGAAAGAGAGAGAGAGAGAGAGAGAGAGAGAGAGAGAGAGAAAGAGAGAGAGAATCCCAAGCAGGATCTGCACTGTCAGTGTGGAGCCCAACACGGGGATCAATTTCATGAATCATGAGATTATGACCTGAGCTGAAATCAAGAGCCAGATGCTTAACTGACTAAGCTACCCACATGGCCCCCAAATATAAAGTTTTTAATTAAAACACAAAATAAGACAAACTCACAGTTCTCTAAAAACTAAATGAAGGATGGCAAGATAAGATTACAAAAATGCCAAGGTTTAAGAAAGAAAACTCCAGTCAGGTACTCCTTCCACCTAGATGGTATATAGTCAGGGTCAACATATCCATTTATAAAAACACAATTGTAAAATATAATTTTTATATTTATAGAAATACTTTATATAATAATTTATATATAACTTATATTTATATAAATTTATATTTACATATTTATGTATACTTTATATATAAATGAAGAAAGTGGTCCACTGAGGCAAAAATGCCAAGGCCCAACTAAAGTCATAACACATTACTATGTATAGTTATGATCTTGATAGTCTTGGTATTTAATAAAAGATAATCACAAGAAATGTATAAATACATTTCCTTTAATGAAAGCAAAAAAAGAGAAGAACATCACAGTTTTTCATTTACTCAGGATACATGATTAATTTCCCACGCTTACCTTCCTCCACCCTTTGAGAAATAATACTTTTTTTCTCTCGCAGATATTTAAATAAGGAAAGAGGGAAAGCAAACATTATGTTCAAGATAACTATCAGATGCTTTACAGTGTTAAAGAGCTTAATCTAGTTAAGAAAACTTGGGTCCATCACTTCTTGGCCTTTTGGCTAAGATCAAGTGAAGACTAGGGTCCATTTATTTGGAACTTTTTTAAGCTTTTTTTTTTTTTAGGCTTGAAGATACCAATATTGGTCATATCATAAACTACCGCACTTACTACAAAAGGTTAAATAACTAGCATATATTGCATTTCTGTTTGGATTCATTTTAAGATGTGGTTCAAAAGCAGAATGCTAATTAAGATAATAGCTATTCATCACCGAGGTACAATACTAAATATAACATGAAATCTTTGACTGAGGCTACCATCAAAACAAGGAAAGGTTGAGCTCTGAAATTGAAGCTGGTAATAATTAAAATATAATGGAGAGATTAACTATCCATATTCTATCTTATCAAATTGTTTATTACATTAGTAATGAAACTATATTGCATTCTAAATCTCCCTCAAGTATACAGTCAAGTTTTCTTCAAGACATGACATGTAAGAATAACGTGGCTATAAAATGCCACATATGAAATAAAGATGCTTTTGAAATGTGATAATAAAGGGTAGTAAAAGTTAAAACTGTATTGGTGTTTATACAGCTTAAAAAAGAACATGCTCTAATCCTATTGATGATCTTATTTCATTAGATCATCTCCTAAAATACAGAAGAGCAAACGTAAGGCTTCAATAATGTGATGGAACCAGCCCTAGACAATAACCAACAGTTTTAATTCCTTGTGTACCATGCAAATTTCTCTCTGATAATTTGGTCTCCAGAGTGAACCTGATCAGCAGAAGGAATGAGGTACGCTAATGACCTGCTTTGGTCTTTAAAATAGGTATATTTCTTATAAGGAAAATTAATAAAGCAGATTTTCTTATTATAATTTGGATCTCTTAAGACTTAGATAAAGCTGGGGCGCCTGGGTGGCTCAGTTGGTTAAGCGACTGACTTCAGCTCAGGTCATGATCTTACAGTTCATGAGTTAAAGCTCCGCGTCAGGCTCTGTGCTGACAGCTTGGAGCCTGAAACCTGCTTCAGATTCTGTGTCTCCCTCTACTTCTCCCCCTCCCCTGCCCGTGCTCTGTCTCTCCCTCAAAAGAATAAACATTAAAAAAATTTTTTAAAGAGGTAAAGCTGATTTTTTTTATTTCTATTGTTCAGTTAGTTCTGGTTGAACAATAACAATAAGCTGTTGGATCTATAATACTTTTCATTGGGATCCTGGACCTACAGTGATATTGCAGATGAAGTAACACTTAAAACCCTCTTGAACAGCCATCTTTCAGGTGTCATTTTATCTAATTAAGAAGATGTCAACAAAATGAAGAAAATACTCATGCTGCAATCATGAGAACCACAGGGTCTCACACATGTGTTCTTTATCTTAGTCACTCTCTAAATCCATTGTGATGGTAATTCAAGGCTAAATCTCTATGTGTGTCTCCAACCTTGCAGGACAAGGTCTCTGAAAAGATCCTCCTTGAACTACTGTATCA